TTTTATTTTATTTTATTTTATTTTATTTTATTTTATTTTATTTTATTTTATTTTATTTTATTTTATTTTATTTTGAGAAGCTCGATAAAGGCCTTATGCACCACTCGGTGCGAAACAGCACGATGATGATGATGATGATGATATATTTTCTAGTTTTCGCGCTCATTATAGTAGAATCACTCACGAGGTATAGATCCAATGAAAATTTTATAATGGTTCATATTCCGATAGGCTACACAATCTTTTCAGTATACCAACAAATTCCAGCATTCTTCGTGTTTACTTACCAAATCCCGTGCGAATTTAGGCAAACCCTGCTAGTCAATTTCTATAATTTCGAATTTCGGCTCTTCTGTTTTTACCCATCAGAAGTTATCAACAAAATAAAGGCTAGACTTTGAAAAGTATCAATCTGATGTAGGTAAATCACAGTAAAATCCACTGCAGGACATTGATTATTCCATGCCATGTTGTGTTATCTTAGAAGCGAGGTGATTGGTTCCTACAGATGACCCTTTCAAACTAGGGAACACTCAAATCGCCACGCGCTAAACTAGTGCGATTCCGTGGTTTATAAAAGTGTGTATGGTCGTTTGTTATTCGTTTACTTCACGTAAACCATGGGCGCGCGAGTTTCTTGTGGAGAATACCCTTTGAAGCCTTCCCTGTCGAAGAGCAGTCCTCATTTCACACTTGGGTTAGTATACATCGTTACTGAAGTCACTATTTTTAACAATTATCCAAACTTGCTGGATTCCCGGAATTGAAGGGACTCACTCTCAATGTTCTCGGAGTTTTATACAATTTGTAAGGCAATATTTTTCCTTTATAAGTCGAATTTCAAGCATAAATAACCGCTTTTTCTAATTTATATTTAGATTCGAGGTAGAAATAACTTATTACCATGAACATTACGCGGCCATTTTCACTTCTCGAGTCATTGCCACGATTGTTTCTTGGAAATCAAGTGTTTACTTAGGGTTGCATCAATTTTAGAACTGTATACATATGCTTTTTTCTCCTGTTAGAAGTACAATTAGATGAAACACAAGAAATTGTCTTTAACAACTGTGTTTCGGCTATGTAAGTCTTCTGAAAACGAACCGATTGTGATGGTCCAGTGATTTAGTGTATTTAGGGTCGTGCTTCGGGTCGAAAACATAGATCATTTCCATATTTTCCAAGAACTTTATATTTATACGAGCTGCATTTTGTTCTCAGCCAGGAATGTTTACAGGCGTGTACTGTAAGAGATATTTTAATATTAAATTGCCTGGGTCAAACGCCGAACTTATGTTTTTTTTCGGACCAAAGTCAAGTTTCTATTGTTCAACATGTGAAAATAGACATGTTTATCGCTGTGACAAAACCAAAACAGTACTTCATGGACGCTCCTAGTAGTAGGCTCCTGATATGAATACTTTCCAATTTTTATTTAATTTTTAGCTTATTACTTGGAACTAATTTTAAGAGTAACATTTTGCCTTTAAAAGCTCCGGAAAGCTTGATTATAAAAAGAAATTTAAACAGAGAAACTTTCGACGAATACTTATTTAAAATTAAAAGTTCGACCCCGAACTACTACGCTATAAATAGACGAGTTACCGACGTTGACTAGAGTCTACTCTTAGCATTTTTTGTATTATTTCAATTCCGATTTATTTAATTGTGTTTTTGAATAGACTGTCGCCTATTTTCTAGTTTCAGGATATAAAGTTGCTGATCAATGAGGTCCAACTCTTTCGTCATTTTGAATGAAGTTTGCAAATATTGCGTTTATATTAAAGATCGCGCACTTAAATGATATGTTAGGGACCCTTCCTTAATTACAAATAGTGTCTTTCTAGGTTCCCTGCGTCATCTTAAAGGTAGCTGTGCCTTTACATAAAAACGAGACTATTTGTGCATAAAACAAAAACGCGCGTATATCTCAAAAACCACTCTAGATTATAACTTATAATATTAAAAGAAAATAAATTATTTAACATATTAGAATGCACGGGTGGTCCTTTAAGAACACACCATGCATTAATATCGACTAATAATTTAGTCGATATAGAAGGTAAGTTAGGATTGTCATTATAATTATAGCCTGAGTATCAGGCTCTCTCGAAGGAGATTGGGGTGAAGCGACAAGGGAGAGAGAGCCCTCTCTTCGAGAGAGACTGATACTCAGTCTATTATAATTACTTTTTCCATTGGATAAACATGTGAAGGTTCTCCTAGAACTCTTACTGAAATGATGTTAAATAAAGAATATGACAAATACAAGTTACAAAAAATTATTTTTTATACATCATTTAATATATATTTTTCGATTTACAGTGATTGTGACAATGACACAGAAGGCGTGTACATTGGTCATACAGATGTCGTACAGAGAACAACAGGAAAAGAGGTAATAAAACTAGTCTATAGAGACCTGTAGACCACTGGGCCGGGTTCAAAGCCCGCAGATACTGCTAATACTGGGTTAACTTTCAGAAAACCTATGGAGTTAACCCTGGATTAGTGAGGATTCAAATACACACTGGTACCCAACGACGTCTATTCTATTGCACGAATACTCTTAGTGATTAGGGTAATTAGGGTATGAGATCGGCGTTTCCCAAACCAAATTCATTAACGTCAATATGTGACAAAAATATGCTCTTTTATTCATAGGAATCGATATCTACTTTTCAAGGTTTCTTGCCAGATATCATGGACACTCGGCTCGTTCTCAAGACCGTCCGAGTGTTCCTGAGTTCTACATTCACGGATACAAGAGTGGATCGTAACGCCTTGATGGAGGAAGTGTTTGATCCAATCAGAGACCTGTGTCAGCAACATGGCATTGCTTTTGAAGTTGTCGACCTTCGATGGGGTAAGCGCACAGAAAGACCAGGCACAGAGCCGGCGGAATAACCATTTTCATGGTTGAAATGAGAAGCGCGGGCTGCCTGTGGCTTTGCACCAAAGCGAGGCAGAATCGGGGAAAGGCTTGATTTGAAAAACGCTTTAGTCTGGGGCCCCGGAATTTCGAGTGCATGCAGTCTTATTTGTTGTTATGTAAAAAGCCTCGTTACGTCATATTTCCCAGCTGTTCTTAATATTTTGTAACCAATGTTAAATACTAATTTGTTATTAATCATGGACGCTTAGAATTGACCAATCAAATCGTATCAATCAACAGGTGTCCGTCAAGAGTCCGTCGACGATCATCGAGTCGTTAATATTTGCATGGAAGAGATCAAGCGTTGCCAGGAAACTTCACTCGGCATCGCCTTCATGGCGTTGCTAGGTGACAAGTATGGCTGGAGACCACTGCCCCCGTCCATCGTTGCCAAGGATTTGGAGACTCTCCTTACGTATATCGACTCGTCCGATGCGGAAGTCATTAGAGAATGGTACTTACGAGACGACAATGCCGTTCCTTCAACTTACAATCTTCAACCAATATCGATCCAGTTTCCCGTGCGCTCAAAAGATGAAGAAGAGCGAGACCGGGCATGGAAAGACTGGGGGGCTGTTGAGAGAAGAATCTGGAATTGTTTGAGAGCTGCTGCAGATGTAGCCGAGTTAGAGACCGATGCTGAGATCAAACGTGTTTTTAAAATGTCGGTCACCCGCATGGAAGTTGAGAAAGGAGTAGTTCAACAAAAAATCAAGTGTCAGCCGTCTCTCGTAGTTGACAGGCGCTTTGATAGCGTTGATGTAGCTGATAAGAAGGCTTCAGATTTTGTGGATATCAAGGTATGAAGGCTGTCGCACAATCATTCGATCGCTGAATATTGATCCCATCGATAGATAGATAGCTAGCTAGCTAGATGGCAGTCTTAAGGCTGCTAGATCTAAATCTATGACTCTATAAAACATTACAAAAGTCGTCAGATGTATAATCATCAAATAGTCGCCAAAGCGCAACATCCTTATAAAATAAGTCGATATCGATAAAAAGTAATCCTGATGTGTCTGGTTTATTATATAGGATAAGGAGCGCGTTTCTGAATGCAAAGATTTAATCTCGGAGTTAAAAGAGAAATGCATTCCATCTTCGTTGGATGTGAGTTCTGTCTTAAAATTCACCAACCTTCAGTGGCATCAAGAGGGTCTAACGAGAGACAAGCATGGCTGGTACATTGACGGTAAGGATGAATTAATAGTCTCTTTGTATGTATAATATCAAAGTGCTTGCCCTGGGAAATCATAAGTAAACAGAAGACTCTTGCTTTGTGTACGAGCAAGAATTTATTGTCAACTGATCCTTTTCATCTATTCATTCAATTTTTATTCATTTATTTTACCACTTTTACCTTTCTCTCATCCCAGAGATGTGTGCCAAAGTGAAAAACTTACTTACTGATCGTATCAACGAGATCATCAAAGAAATTGGTCCACCAAACCCTCTAAAGGAGGAAATCATTCGCCATGCGTTGTTCTGTCGCGACCAAACGCGATCATTTGAAGGACGCGCGAACATCCTAACCGCAATCCATAATTACGTACGCAAGGAATGCGCAGAGATGCCGTTAGTCTTATACGGAGAATCAGGCATTGGAAAGACCGCTCTAGTAGCAAAAGCTATGACTGAAATCCAAGAACGAAATCCTAATATGGCAGTATTGTATAGGTTCTGCGGAACAACACCCGAATCGTCCACTGGACGTGAATTGACTCTAAGCTTAATTAACCAGATAAAAGAGGTGAGCAACGTTATGATTCACTTCTTGGATTTATTCAATAGGCAGCGTTGCCACATTGTACAGCATAGCATGATGGGAGCTGTAGTACTCTCACTTTTTCATGTCCGCAAAATCACTTCGCATAAAGAAAACATATATAACTTTTAGTGGTATTGTTTAGGGGCTATAAAAAGTGCAATAACCATGACTCGCACCATGCTTTGTTATAACTGATTATCGGACTGAAATCATACTGCACCAGAAGTACATAACCACTTCTGGTTATGTACTTCTGACTGCACCTAATGGGCTCCTGACTGCACTAAAGATTAAGGCCGAACGTGAACTTGAGTAGAAATTTATCATTTTCACTTGAGGTTTACGATATAAAGAAAGAAATCGAAGAAGACTATGCATCGGTCTGCCAAGCTTTCCCAGAAGTCATGGAAAAAGCAGCAAAAGATAAACCGCTGTGCATAATGATTGACTCTCTCGACCAACTTACTGATGAAAACGAGGCTAGAAGGTTCTTAGAGTGGTTACCAAGGCGTATTCCTAATCACGTGTGGCTAATCGTGTCTACTTTGCCTGATGTTGGTGGGTGTTTTAATAGGCTTCAAACATTTAAGATTTCCAATGAGAACTTTATCAAGGTAAGACCATCACATTCAGCTCTTGTAGCAACAAAGTCGACATAGTATATCACATTAGCACCTGTGACGTGCCCTTCCGTGCCGCGTTCTGTGTTTTGAATCTGTACGTTTTGTTGGTTTAGGTTGAACGTCTTGGACCCAGTGATGGCGAGGCCATATTGGATTCTTGGCTTGCCAAAAAGAACCGAAGATTAACCAAGGAGCAAAGAGATCTTGTCCTGCAATCTTTTAACAGTTGTCCTTTACCGCTGTACCTAGAGCTGGTGTTTAACGAATGTTGCACGTGGCCGTCGTCCAGGTAATGCGCAGCTTTAATTTACCCCTTTATCACGAACCAATGACCAAGTAGAGGCAAAGTAGTCAACAAGATACAAGACGCGCTGAATATTTTCACTTATTGTACCTTTGTACCTTGACTTGCCTTAGTTTTATATGCCGGTTTAATATGCACTTAATATCTTTAACACAATGTATGTAAAATCGTAAACTAGTAGTGTTGGGCTGCCTGTGGAGTTACTTGCCTACTCTTTCTTACAACAAGTTAACTTAGTGGTTCTCAGTCTTATGGTGTAAACACTAAAATATAATAGTAGCTGTCGTTTAGTAAGATAAACACCATCCCACTCGTTTTCGCCATAGGAAGGAATCGGAAATCACCCTCCAAAAAGATGTCCCAAGTATGGTGAACTCCTTGTACGATCGACTAGAGAGATACCATGGCAAGATACTGGTTTCGCGTGTTTTAGGCTTGTTGGCAGCAGTGTCAGATGGAGTAAATAAAGACGATATCCTTAATATCTTAAGCTGCGATGATGAGCTGCTAAAGGATGTGCTAGTTTGGCATGATCCTCCAAAGAAAAGACTTCCTCCTCTGTTATTGGCCAGGTTGAGATATGATCTCGGTCAATTTCTGGTTGAAAGAGGCGCTCATGGTGTGTCTTTGTTCGCCCTTTATCATCGGCAAGTAGCTATCATATTTTTTGAAACGCGTGCAATTTTTTGGAACGTGCACCACTTTACGTCGGTGATATGCAGCGCGCATGCTCAGCCATGTTTATTTTAAAATCATAAGCAAGTTTAAAGTTTAATGACATTAAAGATTTGTTAAGAATGAACAATATTTTATCAAAATATTGATGCGGTTTATTGATGCGGACATCAAAAAAATGATACTAATTTAATTTTTTTTCCTTTTTGATCAAAGGCAATTTATTGAAGTGGCTGCAGCCCGCTACCTGCATGGAGAGCAGTACAAAGCAACTCATACCGCCATAGCAAAGTACTTTTCTGGCCATTACTACAATATCTACGGCAAAGATCGCGTAATCCCAGATCAGCCAGTAGCGTACTCGCACAAAGCTCTAAACCTAAGAAAACTAGGAGTCCTTCCCCATTCGCTAATGGAAGCTAGCGATTTTGACGAGCTCAGAAACTGTCTTGGTGATCTTGATTTCATCCAAGCGAAGTGCATGGCAGGATTAGGTTATGACATGATGTCTGAGTGCTCGTTGGGTTATCAATACGCACTTGAAAATAATGCCAATGAAAAAACCACGCAAGACCTGAGCGATATACTACAGTTTCTAAGATCTGAAGTTCACATACTTGCCAAGCTTCCCCTTTTAACATTCCAACAAGCAGTTAATTCGCCCCAGTCCAGCTGGATTTGTGGTGCGGCTGTACGCAAACAAAGCGAATGGAACAAAGGCTCACAGAACGTTCTTCCTCAGCCAGAGGGATGGGTGGAGTGGACAAACAAGCCAAATGTAACAGAAGCCTTTCTCTTTGAATTGGGTGGTCACTCAAAGGGCGTGTTGTCCACGTGCTTCTCGCGTGATGACGAGTGAGTTTTTACTCGTATTATTTATGTATATCTCAAATGTCCTGTAAGGCTTGGCTTGCCAGCCAATATATCTTAATTTAGCATTTAGCAGTCGTGGGAGTTCCATGAAGTCATTTTTTCTTTTTCAGAAAAATTATTTCGGCTTCTGAAGATAATTCCATTCGACTTTGGAACAGCCACACTGGTTCTCTCCTTGCACAACTCGATGGACATACAGGTAAGGATGGCAGAGAACAGCAGCAACATCGAGTATATACTTTGAGGCTTTGCAATTCTTAATATTCTACTGAAATTTCCCATGCATATTTCCATAACTTACAGGCGCTGTTACAAGCCTTAAGGTTTCCCCTGATGGAATGCTTATTGCATCAAGTTCAGCTGACCAATCAATTAAGCTATGGAGCTATCAATCAGAGAAATGCATCCAAACGCTACAAGGCCATCAAGAAAGAATCACCTCAATTTCCTTTAACAAAGATGGCACCAAGATTCTTTCTGCTTCTATTGACAAAACGCTGAAAATTTGGGAAGTTGGAACAGGCAAATCCATTGATACCATTTTGGGGCATTTGGGACATCCACTTTGTTGTGCTTGGTCACCAGTAAGTGACGACGTCGCAGCAAGCTGTGGGGACGAATTGGAGCTGTTCATTTGGGACTTGAGCACCCGAAAGAAAAAGTAAGATTTCTATCAGTGTTGTCATTCTGTGATCTATTGATATCTCTGTTTTGTTCACTCGTTCATTTCTCGTATTAGGTTTCTGTTCGGTGTTTTTCTCTGCATAAGAACAGAGCAAAACATGGTACGTTTTCGGTTGAGCTTCTCAATTTCAATGTTTGGATTGTCTCTAATTTATAATGGTCGCTTTTCGTCTCAAATACATTAGTTGTATTAAATGCCCATGTGTGTTCAACAACCTTTGAGCGATTTTCTAACGTACGAATTTTTGCCATTTTTGATTTTAAACCAATCACATTTGAACAAGGTATCATATTCAAAGTTATAGAAACGATCGCAAAGGTTCATGGGTCTTTAACTTTAAGTCTTTATAACCAGCAGTGTGACGAATTTCCTTTCTTTAGGCACATACTCCAAGGTCATACGATTGATAAAGCGATGGTTAACTTTCCTGATAAAAAGAAACTAAACGGCCATGAAAAGTACCATTACGACTCACTGCTCTGGTCAGTAGACTTCTCTCAAGACGGTACCTTACTAGCATCCACGGGCACTGACAGTAATGTATTTGTTTGGAACGTGGACACAGGTGAACGCAAGTGTAGCTTTGTCATTCCAAATGACGGTTCAGCAGTTTGTTTTGTCCAGGCACAACAAGGGACCTACCTCGCGGCAGCATCAGCCCCACACATGACCATCACACTGTTCGAGATCGGTGAGAAACCTCAGGTCATTTCTGTCCTTGGAGGACATTCCGACTGGGTAATGGGCGTTGGTTTTAGCTCTGATGGCTCAAGGTTAACGTCAGCTTCAAGGGACAAGACGATTCGTGTGTGGGACATCAATGCTGCTGAGAAAATCAAAGAGGTTCGGTTTCACTCCGAGAGATGTTGGTGTGTTGCCTACTCTGATGATGGCAGATGGTTGGCATCTGCGTCCGATGATTTTAAGGTAAAACATGGGGTTCTTAATTTATGTGGAGGGAAACCATGCTGGTTGGGGCTATAGGTAGTTACAGTATTGTTGTGTCTCCATCAATCCCTTGAGAATTAAGATACTGTTGGTCATAGTATTAAATGATCACAATTGTAAATAATAATTAAACACTGAAAAGGGGAAATATAAAAATGTAAAATTCAACGAGCATACTGTACTGTGCTGAAGTGACAAAATGTCATTCGTCTGTTGCTATAACATCACGATGGTTTTTCGTTATTCATCTTTGTTCCTATGAATAAAATATATCCCCCGATATTTTGTCTGTTGAATGGAATTTAATTGAAAATAACAGCAAACTCGTAATTTTTAGCGTATTTTTCTTTCCAGGTATGCATTTGGGACACGACCACATTACAACATGTCCTTGTCTATGAAGGACACGAGAAGAAGCGTACGTTTTCCTGCGGCGTGAGGGCGTGTGCCTTCTCTCACGACTCGAGTCTGGTGGCGAGCGGCGGAGATGAAATGATCATACGTATTTGGTCACGTGAGACAGGCGAAGACAAGATCATTCTCCCTTGTCAGTCATGTCTTCTACCATGGTGCCTGAGGTTTTCACCCGACGACCAACGATTAATTGCCGTTGGCGAGTTTTCTAAAGGAGTATTGATGTGGGATCTCAAGAACCAAACAAAGATAGCAGACTTTGGTGGACATGAGCGTTTCTGCCAGTACACCGAGTTCTCACCATCGGGAAATTTAATCATCTCGTGCTCCATTGACAACACTGCAAAAATTTGGGATGCCAAGACGTTTGACCTCGTGACCACATTAGAACATCCAAACTGGGTTACCTGTGGTGCTTTCTCCCACAAAGAAACAACYATTGCCACTTGCTCGCCTGACTTGAATGTTCGGCTTTGGAGCATCAAAGATTTCCAGGAAATTGCTGTGTTTAAGGGTCACGTGTCCGAGATACGAATGGTTTGCTTTTCACCAGACGACAGTCACGTGGCCAGTGCAGCACTTGATCAAAGCATTCGAATATGGCACCTGGAAAGCCAAACCCTTGTGCACGTATTCTATGGGGCTTCGGGATTGTGGGGGTTGGCATGGCATCCAACTAATGAAGATGTACTTGCATCTGGAGATGCTGTCGGGTATTTGTATTTCTTAAAACTAAAGCGAAGATCTGAACAGTAGTCAGGTTGTTTTGATAGTCAACGGTTGACGCTACTAGATATTAGCTGATAAACTTACATCAAAACCAGATAAGAAATGGTCCGATCAGCATGATAAATTTGCATATTTGTAATAATGTATCGAGGAGCTGTATATTCTTTATGATACAGTAAGTAAATCCGCGCACGAGCAATACGTACACGTCTCGTTTCTTCTTCAATGTGGTAAAAGAAAATTACTTCAAAGGGAAATTAGCAATTTTTCAAATTATTGTTTTATATAACTTGTTTGGGAATATTTGACGTTCTACAATAGCAATGACGGGTTAATAGTCAAGAGTTATTCTTAGTGAAGTATCAAGTTTGCGCAGTCACCGAGCTGCTACCATGACGACACGCATTTCTCGGTACCAACTGGCTTAACTACTCGACTTAAAAAACTCAGGGAGCCCACACCGTCATCATATCGATTGTTTGGGTCCGAAAAATAAAAAGAAAGACGCGCCGGATCAATTATATTATCAACTATATTTTCTGTCAAAAAGAAAAAATGTGTCTCGCAAGCACTTTACGATAATAGAAAGTTTAAAATTTGAACAAATAGAAAATGGGATTGTCAACTAAAAGTGATAAGTTTTCATCGTGATTTTTATTTATTTTCTATCCTTACATTTAACGTTGCAGTTTAAGTGAGTTTTTGTATTATACCAAGTTACATTAGCCTATCTCATAGTCATAGGGACGAAGGAAAGACTGATGACCGAGGTGCTATCAACTCGTAGTCCACTTAGGGACTGTGCAATAATTACAGAAAAATAACAAAACGTTTTTATGCAGATGTGCAAGCATGGCTAAACAATGCAAATGTTTGTCTTCCTCGTTTAAGTATAGAAAACATTCTCCTAAGTTTAGAGGGTGATGTCCTAGTTCAATACTTCCTTCTGCTATTATGGAAGCATGCTACATACTTATCAAGGGCCAAACAAAAGTTACCAAAATTAAATGATTATATAATTACTGTAACATTGTATGAAAAAATGGAGTATATCATAGCAAAAAAGAAATCTAGACTGGCCTCACACATGAAAAAGTAAGCGGAAAATATTCGAGATATGCTATATAATTAGGGTACCATGGACAGAACTTATCTGTTTTAAGTTTAAAGTGTTTTAAGTCTTTTTTCCAAGGTGATAACATGAGTATCTTTGTTTTCATTGTTTCGTGTTTTGTTTTGTTTTTGTTTTGTTTTGTTGCACTAAATGTAATGTAGTATTATTTATACTTATTACATTGAAATAAAAATCTTAAAAAAAAGAATTGTTTTTGAAGCGGGGCAAAGAGCGGGGATTTTAACGCGCGTTTGAACATGTATGAGGCTGGAAACTACCTTAAATGTTTTAAAAGAAACTTATTACACATGTTTTTCTCCGTCCAGTTAGCCTCATGTAGTACGCAAATGAATACACAGGATTGTGCAAAAGCTAACCCTGTGTATCACAGAAAATTTGATTGAAAGACCAGTCGGCTTTGCTTTGTTATATAATACTACCAAAATAGCGGGGCAACAGTAGCGGGGATTTTAACAATGAATGTGCCCCCGACTACCGTTAAAATCCCCGGTATTCCCCAATTGACTAGTGCATAAATCTCAGTGTCTTTATAATTGAAGAAGTTTATGAGCGAAACATTGCAATAGTGCAGGAGGAACGCTCTTTATTCAGACTGACCTGAAATAGAGGATACAACTATTAGTACGATCTATTCGAGGGCGAATCCACCTGAAATTTTAAGGAGGGGCTAAATGATTTTAAGGTGGAGGGGGCTAAATGGGCTTTATTTGTTATATAACATTGAAAAGAATAAAAAGAGTTATTTTTTCTGCTCAGAGGGGGGATTACAGCACCCCCTTGCACCTCCCTGGATGCGCCCTTGCTATTGTCAAGTCGTGATGATTCACAGTTCAAGTTACAAATGATCCTTACTTTGTGATGAATTGTTCAATGTTCTTGYTTAAGTTGTTTATCTTTACTTACATGTAACAGCTTTCAACTTTTCTTTGGCGTCTTCTCCGTATTTTTTCCATTTTTCAGACGTTGTCAAGACGTGTTCGTTCCAGAACTGATTTAGCTGCCTCTTCACCTMACCTACGTACGTTTCACAYTTTTCAAACACTTTCCTTTGGAGAATGACTKYWCCCTCTGATCCAGTTCCTGTACAAGTGTTGTCGTTGAACRTCTGGGTGCAMTCTATTTCGCACTTATTTCCAGAACACTTTCTTGTTCCTAGAAATCCACCACGAAAAGCACCAGCTGGTCGACCACCAGCCCTTCCAGKAACACCAAAGAAGTCGTTTTCTTCATATTGCCTGGAAAAGAAAAGAAAAATGGAAATGGCACGGCATGATGAGCGCGAAAAAAGGTAAAAAAATATGAAAGCAAACGATAAGTGTAGGCATCATCAATAATTCTTTGAGTTTTAACACATACTCCCTTACATTTGGGCTTAAATTTCTAACATTGGATTGGCACTCGATAAGACGTAATAATAGAGAACACTGCTTTACCTATAAGGTGTATATAAATTTTAGTGCTCARCGCTATCCATATAAGTTAATATCTATGTCATGATAGTAAATAGAGTTTATGGTAAGCCTAGTTTACGCAAGCAGGATTTTTGCGGCGATTTTATCCAATTAAACCCAAAGTCACACGTGCAAAGAGCATGCATATTCACGGCTACGGCTCGCAGGTTTATCGCAGCCAATTCGAACATGCTCGAAAWTTTAGTTTAAATCACTGCAATTTTCATTTGGAAATTATCGTGAATTTGCATGAGGTCAGTAAAATTTTACCTACATTCACCCTAATGTTGTGTCGATCTTCCAATGAATTATGATTTTGATTATTACCTGATGTAAGTCCATTCACGTGCCCACTCTACATAACGTGYATAKTGATCAGMTKTATCAAYCAACTCGTTYAAGTATCTCTTGTAGTAGGCACAAGCCTGTTTGTCAGTGTTCAATGGCTGTGCTCGGTACGACGCTTCTAGAGTCTYGAGTGCGAAGAGGTGCAGTGTACAATAGTCGCGGAATGGTATGATGCCAAYCTCAAGTCGTTTAACCTGAGCGTGAGWGAGACATTCCATTCTGCTGCCGCATTCKTYTTTCATCCATTGCCAAGTAGCTGCAGAGGCTCTGTAATCAAAATYAGGGTCGTAGACTAGTTTTCGTCGGCCTYTCCRATCMGTTSTWACTTGTTCAAATWYCGAGTGAAGCGGCTGGAAGTGATAACGACTGCTTCGCATAGATTCGACGGCACGACGTTGRCAGTCGWKTGWRGCGGGAATAYTCACCTCCTTGATACACCCAGACCATTTATCGAAAAGCTCTCTGTAGTTGTTCCTCATAAGCKTTTTTTCGAGCTGTAAATCCTTGGCGTCAACATAATCTTGCATTTGATCCATCATGCCGTTGACTTCTTCAGAAAGAAGCTTGACAGACTCGAACGCTCTATCCAAGATATCTTGTGGCGATGGAGATTCGTGAAAAAATCCAGCCGCAACCGTAACAATCCCAATTGCGGCTGTCATTTGAGGTGCTGCTTTCATAAKATCRCCYATTGCATCAATCATTCCSAGGGTTRCTGCAGTCACTCCAYTGYCMKTRTTGAAGTAKTCCAGACCTTGCTGWAGRATA